CCCCCCGCCCCGGGAACAGATTAGGAAGCCTGCTAATAAGGTGAAATAGTTAGAAATTGGAAACGCAGCTTGAAAGTTAGGGACCATCTGGAATAGTAACGACTCTGGCTCATGCAAATTGTTTCAGATTTTAAGTATCAAAAGAGGATGAGGAGGGGCTTCCCTGGTGGCGCAGTGGTTGGGAGTCCGCCTGCCAATGCAGGGGACACGGGTTCGTGCCCCGGTCCAGAAGGATGCCACGTGCCGCGGAGCAGCTGGGCCCGTGAGCCATGGCCGCTGAGCCTGCACGTCCGGAGCCTGTGCTCCGCAACGGGAGAGGCCACGACAGTGAGAGGCCCGCGTACCGCAACAAAAACGCCCATCTAACGGGAGAGTATTAGCAAAAAAGATATATGCTGTCATGCCACGTTTTCTCTGCTTCCTATGTAAACAACGTAATCATATTTAAATTTCATGCACCCTATAAATATGCACTGAGTGATTTAAGGAACAAAATTAAGTGGAACAAATTCACAATTATTATATTCCCCATTCAGGCACGGGGAGAACAAAACACAAAAAAAAAAAAAAAAAAAAAAAAAAGGATGAGGAGGAATTCTGTCACTTTGATGGATTGTATTGGCCGTGTCCTGTCGGATCACTGCTGCTACAGCGGGCCCCGGGAGCACCTAGCGCGGGGACTGTGGCCTCCGGCCCGGGCACCCACCCAGCACACCTCGGCACGCCGGGAGGCCGCCTCACTCCCCATCCTCCGCTCCCGGGGGTGGGGGGGGGGGGGACCGTGGCCATGAGGTAAATGGAGGCGAATGTTACTGTTGTGACTGTGTCAGGGAGTGTGAGTTATAAGTGGTATGCAGAAAAGTGAGGGTGTACTTCTGTTCTGGCATTTCTATTTTTAAATAACTGTATTTCAAATTTAAAATGATCCAAATAGAGCCTTTAATATTGTAGAGCAGAATTATTTTTCAGTCGTAATCTAGTGGCTTAAAAAATCATTTCTTAAAGATAACCAGCAGTGTCGTCCACATATATTAATTTTTAAAGTAAAATTTACCCGTGACACTTTCTGGCCAGCTGCCCTCCGCTGTGCATCCCTGACGTTTGGCGGGTGCTCTGGGCCAAATGTCAGGGATGGGGCTGGCGTTGTGTCCCGTATCTCCTCTGTGACAGATGACTGCAGAGGAGCTGAATGCCAGCTACTGGTCGTCAAGTGGGGTCCCAGCCGTCTCTGATATGAATAAGCGTTTGGAAAGCGTTCTCAGCACAGACTTGCTCCACAACTTTGCCCCACTTCCTTTCTGCCTTTCCGGCATTTTCCTAACCACTCCTCAGTGGCCCCTCTCCAGCGGACCCCCTCTGTGCACCCACTGGCATCTTTCTCCCTTCTCTGCTGTTGGTTTTCTCCTGGTTGTCCCGTCTCCTGCCCGGTCATTTGCTTCCTTACAGACACAGCTCAGGACTGGCAGCCTCTGTGCCTGTTACCCTTCTCCCAGCTGAGCAGTCTGTATGCCTCCCCCTCAGCACTCTTGCGTAGAGTTCGTGTGCTCTTGTCTCTTTGTGGCTGATGTTTGCCAGTTTTGTGCATTTTCTTCCCAAATGGATTTCAGTCTTGGGAGGTCATTTTCTCTTGGTTGTATGTCTTTTCCAACCCTATTCTACCCATGCATTCAGCAAATACATGTTGAGTACCCGAGTGCTGGGTGCTTGAGAAGCAGCCATGGACGAAAGAACCAGGTTCTTGTCCTGGAGGGGCTCACGGTCTACAGAGTTCTTGACGAGTCGGGTGTTCCGGAAATACTTATGCATGACTCAGAATAGTCTCAAAAGGTGTATGTGCAGGAGGCTGTTTTACCCTTTCTCTGCAGTTAAATAGATCGGTCTGTGTGACCTGTTAAAATCCAGGCTGCCAGAACCGTGCAGCCAGATGCTGTCGGGTGGACGCTCATCTGCCCTGTGTTGGGAGCTCCCCCCATACCCACAGCTCTGCCCTTCGGCCGGGTATGTCTTCCCCCGATTGGCCCTATGCACCCTGAACACAGAACCAGGTTTCTGTTTTCTTCATTTCCCATCTGTGCTGCGTGTGGTCCTTCTGCGCATGAGCAGTGGCGCCCGCTCCACAGGCGGCTCCCGGGCAGGGTCACCAGTGCCTGAACGATACCTGCCCTGTTTAGAGACAAGCCCCCTGTGCTCACGCCTGGGTGTTGCGGCAGCATCACCTTACTCTGAAACGCACGGTATGGTCTCCGTGCTCACCTGGTCGAGGACCCAGGGGGCAGCACTGCTCTGAGATGCAGCTAGGCTGTGGCCTTCTCAGGCCACACCGCCAGTCGTGTGTAACTCTGTATTGTAGTCCTGACTTAACTTTTCTTGTACAAAAGGCAAGGTTTTGCTCCCTAGTGCTTAAAAACAAGAAGTTACCCGTCTGTTGCTACCACTGTCATCACCCACCCCAGTCAGGATATACGTTAAAGTGATATTCGTTATAACTCACACTCACCAAAACATAATTTATAGTAAATCAAAGACTGAAAAATTGACAGACCCACAATAAAGAGAGGTTTGAAGAAAGGAGCTTATCATTTTTATACATGTGATGTGTGTAACTGCTACATGTTTGGTTTTGTGTCTCTGCCTTCAGACAGGACTCTATCGGGCATTTTTGTTAATCCTTCTCAGCAGTTGTGTCAATTTTTTTTTTTAACAGGATACAGAAAAACAAAAGGGAAAACAAGCCATGCCTGAAAAACATGAAAATGAAATGTCTCAAGTGAAACAGAAAAGCAAAAAACTCTTAAATGTTAAGAAAGAAATCCCAACAGATGTGAAACCCAGGTAAGAAAAATGAGTTCAGAGAAATGAGGTATGTCAAAGAAGTTACTGGTGAGAACCAGGTAATGTTTTCGTTTGCTTGGTTGGTTTTTAGGGGGTTTTTTGCAACATAAGCTGCATACCTCATGACGTTCCTATGGGTTTTTTTCTAATGCCCAGTGTTCACTGTCGCTGGTGAGGGACAGCCACATGCTTCCGATGTCAGAAGTATAAAAGGCAGAGTTAAAGCTACTTGTGAAAATGGAGGAGGAAAATGTAGGTTGGTGATCTATTCCCAGGCAGAGAGCCGTTTCACTTCTGCACAGAGATGGCCTTGGTGGTTTAGCCGCAGGTACAAGCATAACTTCTCTCAGCTAGAGCCCTGAGTCTGCTCACTAACCCAGAGCTGCCATTGGGATCTAGAATTCTGTGCTGTAAAACTTGGGAGAACTTATTCTTAACCTTAAAAAAAAAACAGTGCTCAGGGCAGATGTGACTACCGGACAGTTGTACCATGAAGTAGGTCCCATCCAGTTCCCGCGGGGCAGGTCCTGTGGGCCTCACAGGGAGGGCGGCCTGCAGAATGTTTCCCCAGGTCAGTGAATGAGTTGAACTATTGGGTTATTCGTTACGAAGCTTACTTCGTACTTTCCCTAAACTTTGGGTCTGTTTAGTAAACTACTCCTAGTTTCAGTGTGGTTAATAATGCCCTTTCTAGCTCAGCATATAAAAGGCCATCTGCGTTGAAGCCAGTATTTGCCTTCTTGTGTGGTAAGTGGGCATCGACCCAGGAAGTTGAGGGAATTAGGTATAAATTGATAAAGGAAGACATTTATCATTAGAATTGCCCTTAGCTTTGCGGGTCTGTTCTTACTCTGATTCTAGGAATAAAACTCGAGCTCTGCAAAAACATCAACAAGCTAGACTCTGTCCCTAGATTACACAGCTTAACAGGGGCCGTCTGCTCTGCAGAAACAGAAGCTAATAAGAAATTAGTGATTACTGCAGTAAAATTTAACCTTGTCCCTGAACTTATGAAATAACACAGGATATGGCAGTGATTAGTAACAGAGTATTTGTACCTAAAAGTTACCCTTTTGTGCAAAATGTCAGTTTAAGTGACCTAACCCCACGATTCGTTGAGAACGATCTGACCCAGTTAGAAGCAATGTCAAGTGGAATGATGGCTGATACACTTGAGTCTCCCCTGAGAGGAATCAGCCTGAGGCACTTTGGTGCTAATGTTCTGGCGCCCCAGGACAGGGATTAACCCTCGTCTAGTGGCTAGGGATTATTCTTCTAGACCTTTTTCAGGCTTAGTTGACTGATCAGATGTTTTAAAGTAAATGAGGCTAAAAAACCCAAATTATGAAAAACCCTAGTTTCTACATATGCTGAGATTTTGTGAGAATGGACAGTCATGCTATCATTCTTATGACCATAAATTTAAAAGCCCAGCTTCTAAGAATTATCTTAGTGAAACCATTTCATAGGTGGCTGTCACCAAATCTGCCCTGTTTATTCTCCTTGATGCCCGAGGTCAGTATTTTTAAGACAGATCGTACGTACGTACGTGTTAATCCTAACTCATCTCTCTTCCATTGACTTCTGTCATATTCTGATTTTTTTATGAAATAAGTTGGCCATTAGCAGATTTGACTTTGAAAGTTTGTAAACGACTCCACTTGATGCCCCCTGACTTTGCAGAGATGTTGAGTTTGCTGGTAAACCCAAAGCCAGAGCTGCCTGCTCTCCAGCCCCTGTTAGGAGGCAGTTAGAGTGGTTAACTCATGTCCTTTTGATGTATAGTTAACAGAGAAATCATTACCAGAAGACAATTTAAGCAGTGTGCTCTAAATTGTCTTTTGTAACTGGAGAAATCTGTATCAACCCTGGTCTTCTCATCTCCTGTATCTAACCTCTTTAAACTCACTGATCTTGTTTTATGTTTTTCTGAATTCAGGGATAAAAGTATTGAGTCAGAGTCTTTTAGTACATCAGTCAAATTCAGAGTTCAAGACCTTTTTTTAATAACCAGAAAGGTGGCCTCTGAATAGAGCCATTTGCTGTCTCCACTCGGGTGTGACAGTAAATGCCCTGTGCTGTCCTGCGCTGGTCCCGCCCCAGTGACACCTGACGTTCCTGTCACCTAAGAAGTGCTTTCAGCGTGTTATATGTGTTTCCACGTATCTGAAGGAAATAGGTGCACACTTTTAAAAAAGAGATATTAATAAGGCATATATTATGACATCCTTTTGGAAGATTTACCTGGTGGGGACAAAGCATTTATGTATCAGTTGGCCAAAAAGCTGATGCTCTAATAGTAAAATCTGTGGGTTTAGCTCAGATTCGCTTTATCAAAAATTAGTCTTTAAATATTTTCAGTGTTGTTGGAACATTATATTATATCGCCTCCAGGCCAGAAGACCCAAATCCTTAAATGCTGAAGAATTCATTTTCCTATAAGTAAGTGGTAGTAAGCCAGAGGAATGGCTCCCACGTGGTCTTCGCCTGTGTAGCCCCATCCTCCCTAACTCCGAAGAGTTGACTTCAAAAAAACCACTAGGATTGTGGGGCAGAGCGTTACAGAGCAGAGATATGGTCTCCCCTTTTTTTCCAGCTTATACGCTGTAGAAGTGGGTCTGTAGACCTCCAGAAGACTGTATTTTAGGTCAGAGATGCCAGGGAATGAGAGATGTCAGACACTAAAAGGACTTCAGGAGACCAGGAAAGGCGCAGGGCTCCCTGGTTTAGGATACCAGCTATCCATTGATACTTTTGTTTTCTGTTTATCAACGTATGTTTACATAACTTAAATGTAATAACCTAAAATAAGCAAAGTGTGTTATAGAATCATCGTACCCTCTGTCAGAGTCTGCTTGAACAGTGCCCTCGGCTCAGGGCCGTGGGTGCCACAGTGCACACACCGGCCTCCAGGCCCTCGGCGCTGGGAAAGCCCTCACCTTGCCCTCAGCTCTCTGCCTCCCCTCTTCCCCCAGACGGGGGCATGGACGCGAGCAGCAGGAAACTCATGAGCGTGCGTCAGCATCCCAGCTAGCTTTCTGTTCTTCTCTCTTCCAAGGAATCACCTAAATTAACTTGGCCCTTATCCCTTTTATTCAGAAGCCTTAAAAAAGGCTTCTTGGTAGAGATCATCTGGTTTAACTTAGGAAAGTATGAGTCAGCAAAAGTAAAGTAGTTGTCTGGTACCCTTTTTTTTAAAAACCAACTAACTCCACAGTGGTGCAGAGTGAAGCTTTGTATAGACAGTCCCCAGCCCCACACTTATAAACGACTTGCTTACAAACAGTTCACACCCACCCAGCTCCACCACCACCACTACCAGAGGTCTGGGTGTCTCTGTCAGGGAGGCCTTTGTTTTTTAAAAGGTGGCGTTTTTTAAATAACCCTGTCAGAAGTAGAAGGGCGGCAGATTTCTAAAACTGCAGCATTAATAGTCTCGCCCCTAAACGGTGGATTTTTTCATGTCAGTTTGTTATCCCACCTATAATTCTACTTATGTGGGTTAACCGAACCCTTCGAATTTTTGGCTAGCTCTTACACTAATTCCAAATATACTAACACTTTATTATAGAAAAATTGTGAAATATAAAGAAACAAAAGAATGAAAATGACCTTTGACCTCCTACCTTATAAAATGTTTGTAAAGAGCCTCTGTTAAAATTCATCTGTTTAACAGACCTACTAGAGAATGGACTTGAGGATATGGGGAGGGGGAAAGGGTAAGCTGTGACAAAGTGAGAGAGTGGCACGGACATATATACACTACCAAACGTAAAACAGATAGCTAGTGGGAAGCAGCCGCATAGCACAGGGAGATCAGCTCAGTGCTTTGTGACCACCTAGAGGGGTGGGATAGGGAGGGTGGGAGGGAGACAGACGCAAGAGGGAAGAGATATGGGAACATATGTACATGTATAACTGATTCACTTCGTTATAAAGCAGAAACTAACACACCACTGTAAAGCAATTATACTACAATAAAGATGTTTAAAAAAAAAGCGATACATTTAAAAAAAATTTATCTGTTTATGAAGTCATGCTTCACATACTGTTCTGTCATCTGCTTACCTTCTTTGCGGGGCGGCGGGGGGGGGGGGCCCGGTGCTGGTGGTACCGTTGGATCTGGAAAGCCTGACCCGTTCTGACCTTTGCACTCTGGTGTGGATCAGCGTGGTCTGTGCCTGGCCCCGAGCCCAGCAGAAATTGGCCGCCCCCCAGGGAGTGCGAATTTGGAGGGGCAGCGGAAGGAGGAGGAACCTGAAGGGTGGGGCTGGGGGCAGAGCGGCATGTGGGAATCACTCGCCTGAGGGCTGGGGCAGGACGTGCGCTACAGTGGAAAATGCCAGACACGTACCCATTTTAAGAACATCTGTGTCGACCGGTAAACTTTGTAAGATTTTCGATGAAAAGCAAGCTATTGGCTCAGCCTTAAACTGACAGCTTTGCAGCCATCACCAGGAGCCCAGTGGAGACGCGTGATGATTTTTGGAAGAATCCTCGTCGGGGACCGCTGGGTTCTGTCAGCTGTGTCCAACCGTTCCCCGGGAAGACGTCCTTTTCCTGGACTGTGTCAGCCCAGCTCCTGTCAGAGGCCTCCCAAGCCTGCGACTTGATCTTGGTGGGCAGCACAGAAGCAGCTTTGTAAAAAAAGGTTTTCAGGGTCCATGCATTTCCATTTTCACCAGGCTGCTTTACGTGGGCCATCTCCCCAGTTCACTTCTAGAGATTGCTTCTCTCGGCACATTTTAATGTTTTCTTCATCAGGCTGCGGAAACTCAAAATAGCCCAGCTGCCGCCCACTTTGCCTTGCCGACAGGAAGGTCAGAGCCAATTCATTGTCCTCTTTATATATGTTTATCATGTTAAGCTTACCTCTAAATATTTTAGAAGAAATATACTCTAAATAGATTAATAAAAAATAGTATTTAAGTTTTTGTCTAAGATGAACCCTGAGTCCAAGAATAAAGAATATTCATCTCCCCCACTCAACCTACACCTTAGGCAAATAAAGCAGTCCTGCTATTCTGCCATGGGCTCTTGGGGTTTTGTAGGTTACCCAGGAACTTAGCCCTGGTCAGTACACAGTGTCCATGAGAAAAATGCGTTCAAGGTTTTGAGTAGCAGAACCTTTGGCATTTCTAAGTCTGAGACCCTTCAGAATCTCCATATTCCGGAGTCCCACAGGCAGTCCAGCTGCCGGGTGAGACTCACTCACCAGCAGGATGACTGCACTTAGTACCTCCTAGATGGCTAGTCTGTGCCAACAGCTTCATATACACCTTCTCTGACGCAGGTGTTCCCACCCATTACATACTACTAAACAATGGACCTCAGTTCCTTGTCCGCACTCAGAATAGCAGAGGATAAATCTGCCAAGTGCGAGTCTCCTGAACAGTGCTGGAGGTGCTTGGAACGCAGCCAGCCCTCAGGACTGTGGGTTGATAATGCCTCAGGAGGCCAAATGAGTAAAAGAAGGTGTTGAAATTGTAGAGGGATCAGTGACTTCTCCTCTCTACTCTGAAACAAAGGGCTGCATTTGAATATTCCACCTGTGATTGTCTTTCAGTTCTTTAGAGCTACCATATACCGCCCCTTTGGAAAGTAAACAGCGTCGAAATCTCCCAACCAAGATTCCTCTTCCAACTACATTGACAAGTGGATCCAAACCACGAAATTCCCAGAAGACAAAAGGTATTTTCATTTTTCATCATACAGATGCCCTAGTGGTTCGTTGTGTTAGTAGTTGTGAGTTGGCAGTAATCAGTCAGTAGTTACCAGTCATAGGATGGCTACTGTTGGGTTCTCATTAGAAGAGAATGGGTTCTTTGAAATTGGCCCGAAAGAAAGGAATTATCCTCCATAACAGGTTTCTTTTCTGAATTCTGTACAGGTACAAATAAGTTAGTGGATAACAGGCCACCTGCCCTAGCAAAATTCCTCCCAAATAGTCAAGAACTAGGCAACACCAGTAGCTCAGAAGGTGAAAAAGACTCTCCACCGCCAGAGTGGGATTCCGTGCCCGTTCACAAGCCCGGCAGCTGTAAGTATGGTGACCTGGAGACCACGGGCTCTCCGCACCCACAGCCCACCCAGCTCTGGGCTGGAGGACCGCGGTGGGGAGGGCCGGGGCACGTATTGCTTTAGAAGGAGACCCAGTGTCTAGTCTGCCGGAGCCGGCTCGTAGCAGCCAGCAAAAGCTGCTGTTAAATAGTCTGCTAGTCGTTAAACTGTTGTAGCTTAATCGGCCGTGGTGGGAGTATTTATACCAGAGAAATCAGCAGACGATTCAGAGGGCTAGTCAGCCAGCACCCCAGTGCCGAGCGTAGGGAATGGAAAGATGTGCGTAGAGCGGTGAATCATCCAAAGTACTGCCTCCTGAAAGCGTCGGCTCAGCAGCCCTTTACCTGACTAGTTTCTCATACATTTACAGTGTAACTGTTTTTTGTAAAAATGCAGTTTATTCCCAGTTTGCCCACATCTTTTCCATAAACCTATGTTAGTTCTCTCACTAGCCTCTTGACCTCGTTCCTCTGGTCAGGCCTGCAGGAAACTGTGAAAGTAGCACCGTCTCCTAGAAGAGGGTGGAGGTCCTCGCCCTCTAGAAATTTAAGACCTGGAACAGAAGATGACAGAGACCAGCACAGTGAGGGCCTGGTGGCAGGGTTTGGGGGTCAGTCCCTTAGGGCTGATTTGTCTACACTCACCGAGGTGTCAGAACGGCCTCCGTTTGGCCCATTAGTGCCAAAGGGAAAATGAGGGTTGCGCACCAGGTTTGAGGTGAAGGAGGCTTAGAGAAGAGGGGGTGGTGAGTTGAATGAGGGCGAGGAACTCGGAAACTCGGATGAGGTGTGCGTTAAACACGCACCTTTGTAAATACATACTGGAAAGAGATGCTCCCTGGGTTAGAACCTGCAGCCCCGTGATTGCTGTGAAACTTGCTGGTGCCTTTTAATACTGTTTTTTTTGCCTGAGATGAGAGATATAATCCAAAATCCCTGGTCATTCAAGAAGTGTTGAGCAAGTCTCTGGGTCGTCCCGGCGTCCAGGCTGATGCTTTCGAGTCCTTGGGTCCCCTCTAAGGTTTCAGCTGGACATTGGTCCTCAGCTTACACCCTGGGGTTGGGGTGGTTCCTGCACAGAGGAAGCTGCGTTCCAGTGTAGGGAGTAAATACCACGTGCCCAGGGAGCCGGTTTCATGGGGTTGTCTGGGGCGCAGTGAAGTAAACGCAAGCCATGCCGGCATCAGCACCGACACAAGCCCGAGGGGTATCCTGCAGGGAAGAGGGCGTGGGCATCAGGTCAGCAAACCCCGGAGCAGGTGAAGAAGGGGTTCTCCACGTAAGCAAGGGTGAGAGCGGGGCCGGTGGAGACGGGTCGGTGGATAGGTGCCAGGACCATGGCGGAGGGGCAGGGAGAGTCACCAGGGCGGGTGCACGGTGGCTCCGGAGATGGGACGACTCCGCCTTCGAAGAGAAGGGTGCTTGCTGTGGCGGTGCCGGGCGGGCCGGGGCCTTGACACAGCGCAGAACGAGTAGCCTCACTCAGGCCCCAGCCCCCAGGCTGTAGGGAGAAGCACCCGGTGCTGGACGGAATGGTCGGGGCAGGGGAACCACCATGCAGAGCCGGCTTGGGTTCTGGAAGTGAGGGGGACGGGCCCTCCCACCGAGGGGGAGCAGAGCAGACCGTCCTCACTGTAAAGGCTCGAAAGGCCCGCCAGGAGGGGGCCAGGGGAATAGGCCCCAAGCCGGGCAAAGCCTGCTGGGCAGGGAGGAGAAACGAGGGGGACGACCGGCCAGGTGTTGGCCAGGGCAACAGGCGAGTGGGCAGCCGTGCAGACCGGGGGCCCCAGAGGCCGAGCTCGCAGAGGCCGGGCCCCTTCCTCACACTTGGCATCACAGTAGCTGGAGCGGCACCCAGCTGCGCACCATAGATGTGCCAGGTGGTACCTTTTTCAGATACAAGTTGTATGTTTCCATTCGGTGAGTGCAGAACCAGTACGATTTTGTGACACTGTAAGTTCTTCTGTTTAAATTTTTTACAGCAGCTGTGCCTTAAAGGGCAGCAGGAA